AGGCCCCCCACCCCTTCAACTCTGGGATCCCCCTACTTCAACGGGCTGGCTCCATCCCTAGTTGTACATACTGAAAATTAAATAGGGGTAAATTAGGAAAGATCTTGGTAAAAATTAATTTTTCAATGATATTAAAGAAACTTTCTTAATTCGTGTGAAAAGTGAAACGAGCCTATATAATTGGGACAAGGGGAGTAATTTTTTGGACTAGTTTCTTCAATGATATCATCTATTCGAAACCAGAAATTAAGTCTCCTTCATTTTTATATTGTGTATGTCTGTACAATAGCTTTTGGTGTATCAATTTGTGTATGCAATTATCTAGGAAGGCGCAGTTGATAGATTTTGTAGGTGGTCCATCTCCATTGCCAAGACAAATGCTGTGATGACCGCAAATCGTGTACCACATTAAAAAACTATATGATAAATCTATGCTCTTTTTAGTAATTTTGAGCATTGATGGTTACACAAAGCCCAGTCATGAGACTGATCTTATTTGTTCAGTACTTGTCTCCTTTCTGTAAGGCGGGGATATACAACCAGGCAATCTCTCTCTATTTCTACTTGACATGACAAAAAGCATAAAAAACACACTGGATTATGTACCCATGCAAATTATCTGTCGTTACTTTCTAGTTAAGTCTCCCTTCGTCAAATTTATAAAGAGGAATAGTAGTGGGTCCCGCGGAATGCGTGGATATTAAATGAGTGATAATTATGAATGTGCAGTTGAAATTGATGATTGACTTGACTAAATTTATAAATCATTTATAAATTGGCAACCATATGGAAGTGAAGTAACTTTGCCATAGTGATTGATGTCGTGTCATGATATCTATTCTCGCATGTACCATAGAAATAACCTTCCAACTGTGTTTATGTTAGTTTTGTGCAGGTTCCTTGACAGGATATTCATAATCACTTTAAGCTGTCTCTGGCACTAGAATATTAGGCCATGGTTAATACTCTGTCTTAGTTCGTGAGAAGCACCTGTTTTAAGGCAATCATTATACGTGCTGGAAATTATGGATTCAACAGCTTGGGATTGTGGATTTCTTGTTAGCATTTGAAAATTTGCTTGTTTGTACTTGGTGTAGATGCATTATCTGCATTATTCCTCTTTCCCACGTTGAGCCGGTTAATGTTGATGCAGGAAACTTGCCAGGTATTTCTGTAGCTTGTCCGAAATGCAAACAACATTTCTGTCTCGATTGTCGGAGCTTGCACAACTGCCTATGCTGTGAAAGCTTCAGACATTCGGAGTCTCAATAGTGAGGACAGATGACAGCATTGGCCACCTCAAATTGTTACCCCCGAGTAACGGTATACTTACTGGATTGTTCTAAGAATGATGTTACTTTGAGAGTTTATTAGAGGAAGTGGTTATCCCGCTTTGTAATCATTGTCTCATCCTTGTCCGGATGCCAAAACACGTGCCTACGACAGTTTGAAGTGACTAAGGTCTTCAATGTCGAGCATTAAGTTTTATGTGATACTCCATTCTTGGACTACAATAATATATCACGAGATTGGTCAAGGACGAGCTTAAGTTTATTTAGATCAAGAAAATCCATGAAGTTTACGAGGCTTTTATTCAATTTTTTTGTTAATCATCCGTTTATATCTTCATATAGAAGTCATTTCGAGTGACCTCTTCATTCACAGCCCGCTTATTGTCCACACGAAATCGGAGAAAAAGGAAGGTAAGGTCATTGTTTAGGCTTGCTTAATTGCTTTGCAAAAACATTTAGTGAGCTTGTGAATTTACATGCTGGAGGGTATATGTGGAGCAAGAGAAGATAGGTTCACAAAGACATGGCAAGGAAAAGTTTTCTTCGGAGGAAGAAGAAACAAAAATTGGAACAGATTGAATCCATTCGATTTCTTAAAAAAATTACTAATCCTAAACTGTTTGAGGAATCCTTATAAAAAGTTTTTTGAAACGGCAGAAAAAGAAATGTACTGTCATCGATGTATTTTAGAAACTATTGAGTCGTGCTTCTGCTTTGACTCTGGGACTGTTAGTTTCAAAACATATTTGAAGTTCTGATATTTCATGCTTGAGAAATTAAGAGCAATGGCGCTGCATAGGATGCTTGAAGTTGAAGCAAGATATTATGAGAGGATACAAGAACGTATAGAAGAGCTTTAATTTGTTATGGCTCATCTTTCTGTAGCTTGGATGTCAATATAATCTCGTTTTTTATATAAAATTTCTTAAATACTGTTGTTGCAAAATTGCCTTTTAAATAAGTGGGTAGCACACTTCTAAACATCGTTATCGAGAAAATGGTTAAGCGTTGCGGCAGCAAGCCTAGATTTAAAATAGACGATAAGGGGGAATTTTCTCTATAGGCATGTACTTGAGCATTTCTAAACCTGCTTTCAACAAATAATTCTCCCCCGCCACCACCCCGAGCTTTACCTCTTTAATCAATCACAGAATTGGCCATGAGAAAAGCGGTAGCCTCGATCAACACCAACAATGACTTGCAAAACCAAGGGAGAGAGAGGCTAACCAAAATTGAGTACGGTTTGATGGTGATTTGTCATAAAACAAACCACGGTCCAGTTCTGTCTGTTCAACTGAAACGTTGTAAAGATGTCTGTAGCAGATATCCATTACGAGCAACATCACATTATAGATCTCGATTCCAAACCTAATACATCTTTAGCACGGCAAAATTCCAAATCAAATACAGCTAAATGCAGATACCAAGAAGAAGAAACACAAAACAACCTCTACCTTTCCCAACCTAACCCCACCCCAATTCAGATTTCCGCAGCATAAATGAATTAGAAATAGGATCATCAAATACAAATATTGCATTGTTAAATAATCACTCCAAAATATGTATATAACTTAAGTTGCTATATGTCACTGAATGTGAAGTTGACACATTTACAGGCCATTCGCTCATATTACAAAGAGCAAAACCAGAACGTTTTTCCTCTTCTAAAGCCTGCTAACTACACCTAGGAAATAATACCAATGGATTTTTTTTATTTTTTATTTTTTTTCAAATTTTCAAATAAAACAACTTCCAAATGTACAATCAACCAGAAAGATACCTGCAAGTCATTCAAGAAAAGAGAAGAAAAAGAATGTGCCTCTGACCTATTAGGAAGGGCAGATCCATGATAATGAAGTCGAAAAACACTAGGAATTGTGCGAAACTAACTCTGATAAATAAAACAGAGTTAAAACTCCTCACCAATCAAAAGTAATGTTCCAGGAGGCAGCGCACTGGGTGCTATCTGATAATTACCCTTTCGCCATAGCAGATACTGAAGTTAGCTTCTTCGTTGTTCAAATACAGATCAACTAGGTAGCAATAACAAATCCCCAAACCCTTCCGAGGAATCTCTTCAAACAAGATGCATCTGGTATTATAACTTCTTTCTATGGAGTTATGTCCTCCAAATATCGTCACGAACAGCTTTACTCAGAGTCTGAATCAATAGAAAGGTATAATCTTGGTCTTACAGAACGTCGTTGGCGAGGAAATGAAAAAGGACTATCAGATCTTTCCCTACTCGTCTTACCGGACTTCTTGTCATTCATGCCAAGAAGTATAGAAGCTGCGACAAAAATTAAACAAAAAAAAAAAAGTGACTGCTGTGACAGTCTTGTGAAATCTATGAACATTTGTTAATTTAAACATTGTTGGAAAAGATCTTTTACGAAAAGCCAAGGGATGAGCAAAAATTTGCACCACCAATTCTAGGAGGTTGCTGTGGGGTTTCAGTTCTCATTTGGTCAAAAGCTATATGGCTGGTTTTACATATTTTTTATAGATTTTTAAAAAAATTAAGAAGCCATGTGGAAAAAAAAAATTACTCATCAGTACACAAAATTTATAGTGGTTTCAAAAAGAAATTTGGAAAAAGTGAGCTAATATTATGAATGAACAGAATATAAACATCATGTACCCGTGTCCGCCAATGAATCCAAGGCACCATTCTTGGATAGTAATTGATCCCCGGAGCTTAAAATATTTGAAGCTGCAGGTTCACCATGACCCCCTGCGCTGCCACCCCCAAGCCTGAGAGAAATCCAATCCTCACTACGAATACCATTTGAAACGTCTGGAAGATCTCTTGTGTCAGCCTGTGCTGATGCATCGGATGGCCTTGTCGGAAGAAATATTTGAAGCGAAGGATCATTACCACTAAATGCCAAAGGGTTATCAACTAATCCGTCATTTACATTAGCATGTTTAACAGAAGACTCAGGAACAAGTGCAGCAGGTCCCATGGCATTCTCTGCAGTCAATGTGTAGCTATTAGATGAAGTTGGACAATTGATAGAACCATGCTGCACATCAACCAAGGCATCTGTTACGTCTGCGTCTGAACCAAATAACTGAAAACCAGGGGCCCCTTGACTACCAGAAGGCAAAGACCACATATTCATCCCAAAATCATCATTGAAAAGACCAATAACATTACCAAAGGCGGCAGGATCTTCCGGATAAGAACCAGGAATTCCATGCTGGGAAACAGGAAAAGTGGTTCCACCATTGTCCATGTGGTTGTTCTTGTAAATCGCTCCAGAAGAAATTCGAGGCTCATTTTCTTCTTCTGAATCACTGAGGACAATTACTTCCTCAGGTGGTGCGGGTGGATTTTGCTCATTAAATACATAGCTTGGTTCCATATTCAGGGAAATTGACTCCAGCTCAATGCCGTGGTTTGTGACAAAATCAATGTTTTCTGCGCCATCCTGGTTGACACTAGCATCTTCACCATCTCTACCACTGCCAGTGGCGCTGCTGCTCATAGGAATTATATTATGGTTGTTTAAAAATTGTTCCTGCAATCTATTCGCAGACGATAGTTTCAACATTTCATCAGATTTATTCAATTCCCAGAAACCATTTCGGTTTTTCTTCATTCCAAGTTTCAACCCAGCATGGCTATCAGAACCACCTTCCTGCTTAATCAGTTTAGGAAATTCTGGTTTGGGTTTAGATTCTCCTTCCATAGACGGACAGAGACTACCATCAGGCAAGTGCCACAGCCCAAGTTCCCCGAGAGCCCTACGGTCACCTTCTGTCTTCGCACGCCAGGAGCCGTCGGGCTTAACCTCAATCTCATTCACATCTTCTCCACAATTCTTAATCTGTAAAATATAACCAATAAAGCAATATTTGCATGCGTATATTGCTGTGGGTGGGATAAGGGAATAGTTTAACACCATAAGACATGATAAGCAATACCTTGGATGTAATTCGGTTGAAATAAGGGTCTATGATGATTCTCTCCAGTGAATAATTCTTGAGACAAATAGGGCATTGCCACTGCATCCATGTAGAGAAAATGGAAAATGAATTAATTTGACCATAAGATAATTGTGTGTGATATATGGTATATCAGTTGCATTGAAAGAGGCTATTTGAAAGAAAGCCGAAACATATAATCCTCAACATATTTACTTGCCTTCCTAGACCTTTGGTTCATTTCCACAAAAACTTCAAGATCAAAACAGCCCATGTGGACACAGGGTTTAAATCTTCCAGCAATCTTCATTCTTAAACCACTCATCTGAATCATGCAAGCATAAGAATATAAATACAAATCAGTTCGAACAAATACTAATTGGAAAAACCTGGGAACAGAGCAGCCCTAAAGGAACTAACAATAATTACAAACCCTCGTATCTGGGGTTAAAATTAGAAAGAAGGCAAGACTTTGAAGTGGCATTTGTGCACCAATATTTGACAAAAATAAAGTTTTTAGAATTAACGAGGTTGTTCCTACTATTATTGAGACAGACTCTGAGCAAGATCCAGAACCTAATCTTTAATGAGGCTTTCATATTCTAGTGCACAAAGAAATGTCATTCTGCTTCCAAATTAAAAATCCGAAAATCCAGAGCAAAGTAATGCAGTAGTAGTTATGATTATTAGCCATTAATGGAGATTGTATTTGACCACATTGGATACTATTTTAATCGTGAATTCATGACTCGTTCTATAAGAGAAGCCAATCATTTACAATGAGGGTATGATGCATCAAATGCAGACACCACAATTAATCTCACATTATAGTGTGTCCACATAAAATGCCTGAATATCTGAATATAAAAGTTTTAAGACTTCTTACAGGACAACGAAGATTGACAGGAATGAAATCAGCAACAACTTCAATATCACTGTCACTATCAGCATTTTCTGTGGCAGCCCCACCACCAACACAACGACGAACGCGAGCAAGTGCATCCTCAAAACGTTCACCTTCAGATTCTTTGGGGATCATGTTGAGAACCTAGGTAAAGGGGGACAAAGGTTTTATTATTAGTCCCTATGAAGTACAAAATCAAAACGAGCTTACAAATGCCATACCCTACACATTACTACAAAAATTACTAAAATCAGTACCCTAGCTTAATACAGCATACTTTAAGCACAACATGCAAGTAAATGAAGAAGCCAGAGAAACAGCTCTGGCATAAACAGAAATAAAGCGCTATAACTCTCATTTTTATGAAAAATCAAAGTGATTGGTGGGAGAGGGGGTGGGGAGGGCATTTCTTGTTAGATTCTATCATTGTTTTTTATTTTTATATTTTTGCACTTTGATCATCTAGGAACCATTACATCTTTCATCAGATCAGATTTTTCTTCTTAGGATTTGCTATATACCTCTAGTTAGAGCTTTGTCGTTTTTGGCCAACTTTATATAATGTCAAACAATCATAAAATTCAGGTTCTCCCAAGTATCTCTCTCAACTCATAACATTCACAAGTCCAGTCACTGTCTTCTATATTCGTGCAGACGACTGCCAAAGGTAGGCTTGATAAAATGAAACCGAAGATAGCTGATGTTCCTCACTCCTTGTCAATATGTCATCATCAATTTCACAAATGCATCTCTTTCAGCTCCCCTTTCACCATCTGATGCTGACAATGCCTTGTCCAAAGCATAGTCCCACTGAACTCACACTCTCAGCAACCTTATTTTTGGGCCATGCTCCTTCCCACAAACATAATTACTAGACTAAATAATCTTAGCACAACATTATTTAGAGGAAACTCACGAGACATCCTTCCAGGACTAACACATCACATTATCCTGGACACGTCATTACAGCTGATTTATCATGGTAGTACATGATTAAGAAGGAAATTCATTGTTCCAGGACAAAAAAATGTATCACGTACAGTGATAAATGTATATGTGTACAGAGGATTAAAACAGCATTTGGCCTGTCCTCGGTGTGTCGGAACTGAAAATGTTGCGATAGCATGGCTTTCAAGTCAATATCCATTGTCATGAAGAGCTCAATAAAAATACCCACCCTAGTCTTTCAAGTACCTCATTCTCCCTTGCTTCCCCTCGCTTGCTTCTCTCTTAAAATGTCAACCAATCATAATCTTTTTTGGAAGCAAAGCATGACTTATGAGTCCAATAATATTCACTTAAGTACACAAGACTGTCTTCTTAAAAAAATTCTGGTTAATACCAGTCAAACAATTACTCTCACAAGTAAACTCACAAGCACTTATTAATATGAGAAAGAAATAGATGCGACAACTAATGAAGAACCTGGAAACACCAAGAAAACTTCACCAGTCAAACATGCTTGAAGCACATTAAATAAAGATTCAACAGAGAACATTTACCAGCCTTTACATTATTCTGAACCCTGAAACGGTCAGTCAACCAATATCCAAAAGGAAAAGGCAAGAAAAAATTCAAAATGCAGGGATCAGGAAGATGAATCTACCTGGTGAAGAGCACGCCGTTTCACAATTCTTACTCCCAAACAGAATATGCGACCATCGCATCCTGTTAATGAAATCTTATTAATGCCGTCTCTGGTGGTGCATGTTGTTATCTGACAAAACAACGAGATGTGAACTAAGGAAGAACATAAAGGATCAAACCAACAAAGTTCAGTGAGAATGCAACTACAAAAAGTAAGTGAAATGATTGCTTCCCACAAAGAAATAATTAGATGACAAAAGAAAAGAAACCAAACAAGAATAATTGATGAGCAACCAAGATATACTCAAACTCTCATGTGGTCAGATGAATGATGAGAATTATATTAGAAAGCAAAATAGACATCTTCAACAGCAACCACAAGAAACAAAGAGACTGTTTCCAAGTTCAAAAATCAACAGTCAAAACAAATGGGTCAGCAGAGATGGTGGAAAACTCACAATAGGTCCATCATCTCGACCATTTGCCCCCAGAAGCTGTGAGCTAGGTCTGTTTATTGCTCGTACTTGTACATCTATCAAAAGGCAATAAAAATATTACTTCCAAGAAAAAAGAAATGAACTGAGAAAAAAAAAAATCAACCATACAGTTAGGTGCATTTTAAGCAATATTACCAAACAAAATCATTATGCGTACAAGATTGAGTCTACATAGATTGAGTAAACCCTAGTTTGACCATAGAAAGCATGATCTAATCGGCAGGTAACAGGATACTGCAGTAGAATCATATATTCTCTTTCCAATCAGTTTGGAGGAAGAAAGATAAGATATGAATACAGAAATAACAGGATACAGGAGCAAAGAATCAATCTTCTCACAAAAAGCCCAACATTTCCTAATTGGAGCAATGTCAGATTATAGCATACCATTGACCTGTAGGTCTGCATACTGTGGCCACTGCATCCTAAATGGCACCTTGTCATTAAGAAGCATGCACCAAGCCTAGTCATGGTAGCACACAAATCATTAGCTTACAGGTAAACATGACAATCCAACAGTAAAATACCAAAATATTTATCATTTCACAGCATTCTCACATACCTGAACGTCATATTCTTGTTTCAACAACAAGTCTTTGTCTGCCCTCGTCAGATGAAATGTTTTCTCTATGCTCTGAACAGGATTTGAGCTAAAACATTTGCAAGTGTACATTAGAAGATGGGATATGTATGCATAAACTTGCAAAGAAGATAGATGTGCTCGCGCACTTGTGATACTGTGCACATATCAACAAAAACATCTAGGACAAACAACCTAGAAATAAAACATGATAAATACTAAATCCAGCGATAATGGAAAGATCAATAATAGCATTTTCCAAGTTAAGTAATTATTATCCTTAGCCATGGATATGGTCATCAAACAGAAACTGTTTTCTTATCTCTAATAAGACAAGTAATACCGAAAAAGTGCAAGAAACAAAGCACGTCCAAACCATCAAACCATCTCATTGGTAGTGCAATTTCCTATCCAGCCTGTCACTTTCTCTCCTAGTCTCCAATCATAATTTATCAAAACTCCCACGCCTTCTAATGCTGAGCTTTTACTTCAATCTATAATTGCTTCTTGTCCATGTAGTCCTAGTCACTGTCCTCATCAGTTCTCCTTTGAATATTTAACAACAATGTCTAAGTCTTATCCTCCTATTAACAAAAATGCACCCCTGCAAACAGTCTTTTACTTTTGATTTCCTTTCAAACAGAATCATGATTATTATTCCTCCCCTTTATTAACAATTTCATGCAGTTCAAGAAGATATTTCTCAACAAATCTTTGCCAGAATACTGAAAGCAAGAATCACATGGTCAAAAATTCTTTGAAGCAACCGAAATCTTCAGTCAAGTCTCCTCTGAACGCCGCAAAGATTTTTGAGACCTGAGGCACTGCCAGAAAATTTCCCGTGATCTCTTACCAGTCATCACCCAACAAACTACATGAGGAGACACCACCAGTTCTGAGGTGCATTTTGTCTACAGGCATCTACACTTCTATGGACTCCCTGGTGGCAGGGTCATTCACTTCAGACAGAGACAAACATACAGTCATGTCTGCAAAGCCACCTTCTTCAGGTTCAATAGGCTCAGCAACTTAAAGACCAACTGACCTTTAACAGGTTTGGAGAGTACTCTAATTGTTGCTCACAGCAGACTTTTTAGAATCAATCGAATGCAGTTTTCAATTACAATTATTTACTAAAAACCTAAACTAAAACTGAACCAAATGAAGAAATTTTATTTATTACATGTCTATTTAGACATAGTGATGTCACTCAGTTCACTAAAAAACTGACAGAAACCTAAAAAATGGAAGAAAGGGAAGAAAATCAGGAAGAAAGAGATGTCCCCAAGAAAACCTTGCATCTCTTCTGAAGTATCTCCCCTTAACTGAATCACTGATGCCCTTAACTCTAGCATTGTCATCATGCTATAAAATTCTTCACAGCTTTTTGGGGACATGAACTTTAATTGATCTAGATCAATTTCCTCTACATATTCCAAGTATATGCATCTTGGAACCTCTTTCTTGTCTCAGTTACAAAGGTACTTAGGCAAAAGGCAGACTTGAGAGGATTTTGAAAGTAAATGGATGTAAGTAGCAGAATTTGCATCACACATACAATAGTGTTCTTAGTGTAAAATAGATAATGCGAAACAAAGAGGAAAGGAGATAATCAGTTTTCATTAAAGGCTTGCATATTTGGATGTCTTTACTTGGATAGGATTTTTTGTAAAAAAACTAAAAAAAATTTCATGATGCTTCGAATGTGGGTTTTAAGATTTTATTTACAAGGGTTGCTTTTGGATTTTTTCCTCTAGGCCCAAGTATCATAGTTTTCAGTTAGATCTTTAAATGATGTCTAAATAATGCAACAAATAAGTATTTGCAAATCAAAAGAAAAATAACAGCATTGTAAGCCTAGGCAACTAGACAATTTAGACAAAGGAATAGGCAGACCTCTAGCACCAAAAAGGAAATGATATCTGAAATGACACAAACAAACATCTACTTGAGTTGTATTCCTCAATTGCAGATACAGTTCACAGAAAACCCAAAATAGAAAAACTTTTTTTTTATAACCGTGGATGTCTGGGCCAGCTTGCGCGCACCTCGACTAATCCCACGGGGCCCTGAAGTTTACGACCGGGTGCTCACCTCAGTGGCCCTGAGAGGACTCGATTTGGTGACCATTGGGGAGCAAACCCAAGGCCTGACCAATTGAACAAGTGTGTGATCGACCGTTGTAGTGTATATATCCTATATTATAAGATCATTACTTGAACAGTTCAGCTTATGTGAACAAGTTCTATCTTGAATACAAAGACCAAACAAGAACTTCAGGTTCAGATAGCTCGAATACCATGACAGATATGCTCTTCAGATTTAGAGGTATAAATTGTCAATAACTATAGAATATATTGTTTACTCACCCATCTGAAGGAATACTGGTAATGGTCAACTTCACAGGATACAAAGGATGTGCCACTGTCATCCAGAACCTGCATATTTAAAAAATAAACAAAGACTCACGAAAGTTTACAATTGAAATATCCCAATTCTCTGAAGACTATACCAAGTAATTCTAAGCATGTCAGAATGTTACTTAAATGTCTGCATAGAGCATCACAGGGCAGCTATCTAATTTTTGAGCTAATTTAAGCAATATTCATAATGGGTGGACATAGCTCCACCAGCGAAGACATTTTCACCATTCTTTATTTGATTTATCATTAGCTGATCGCACCAATGTACTTTCTTGATTCAAATTTGTGAAAAAATAAGAAAAACAGTTAACAGATAACAGTTGCAACAGGTAACTAAAAGAACACATCACGAAAAATTAAAAATGAGAACTATGGAGAACCAATCATTTTTGGAAACCTTGAAACTAGTTGACAAATGAACCAGAAGAACATAAAGCTTATAATCTGCTTTTTTCCTGGACAAGCAGCACCACATATCATGGCATGAATCAACATTGCCCGGTGCTGCTGAGACCCATATGCATGTGTTCATGAAGGTGGATATCATAGTTATTTATGAGTCTAGGGAAACCAAATACCAAGATTTTTTATGTTAAGAAACTAGGATCATTTTTTTCATTTTATCTATTTATTGGGTGGAAGGACTAGAAGATACAACTACAGACTTGTAAAAGAGGTTAGTTTCTCCAGCATGAAAATCTAAAATAATAAATGGACAGATAAATATGAATGAAATATAATTAAGCAATAAGCCCCTAAGAAAGACAAAACCTGCCAATAGATAGTACCCACAAAAATTGTGGAAGTTATATGAACAAATAATCCAAAGCACAAAGAATAATATATTAAGTTTCACTTACGGATCTGCCCGACTAAGTCTACAAATTTCACAGTAAAAAATTTCAGGGGTATCTGGTAGAACACCCTCCACAGGTTTCTCAGGGATCACCACACAAGCTATATGCTGCCACACATTGCACCTTGGATCTTCACACTGCACCAAGGAATACATGGTGAAAACATAAAGTGTCACACCAGGTCCAAAAAATGTTTAGATGAAAATTCTTTGCAAGGAAAAGTATAACTAATAGGAAGTTAAGAGAAAACTCAAAATATTTATTACTTCAACAGGTACGATGATAACACTGAATATAACTATCATTTCCACCAATCTTTACAAGCTTTCGAATCTTATAAACAATGGATAGATGGACTTGTCCAGTTTGAGGAATGGGGATCTGGAGTTGGAATCAATATTCCTAGAATTTAGCTGCCTCAAATCTAAGTGGTAATTCCAACTCCAGGCAGCAGAACGAAAATCCTCTTCCGCAAGGTATCCCGGACCTACCTTCCCATTTTGAACACTTGGTAGGCCAGCCACTTTGCAATTTCACTAGAAGCGCCAAATAAATAGTTCCACACACAGGACGCCACTTGGTGAGCAGCGGTAGGGCTCTTCCCCACCCAATACCCCCATCACCTCTCCCCACCACCTGAAGGCCTTGTCTGTGGAAACTGGCAGCCCCCTGCCACACACACTGTAGTCCCCGACAATTCCATCACAAACACACTCATATGCGCTTTCCAACCCCATTCCACGTATTTGAGCTGCCCCACACCTCCAGCGACACTCGTCAGCAAACACATCCACACACCTCCGGCAACAGACACATGCACCACAATAGTAAGCGAGCACATATACAGACAAACTCACTGAGAAACCTAACTTTCAGGCATTTTTTTCCATAAGCAGAATGCGGAGAACCGTATATTCATACCTGGATAGGAGGAATAAATATACAGAGTTCACAAAAGGATTAACTGCATGTGTACCTTTATCATTGAATCAGTTGGTAGTGTGCTTCCACAAAGGCAGCGGATTTTATCCATTTGGTGAGGCTCTTCAGTTTCATCTTTGAGTTTTACATTGAGTTTTACATTACTGCTATCTGATTTAGTTGCTAAATCAGTTGCCCCAGATATCTTCATTTTTCTGAAAACAACAATAAAAAATAAACGTCAATGAGATCAACAAATAATGATAAACGAACACTCCCCCTCTCTGAAGGCAATATTCTTTTCTTTCTTTTTTTGTGAAAATCCCATTTATTTGTATGCATAGTATCAAGTTTTACTTCCTGCAGCCCTCCACCAAACCGAGTTCTTGTTGTTCCGATCTTTTAGGTGAGTGGGAAGCAATAAAAATAGTTTTGATTTTCCAATATGTCCTATAATGGGGAACGACATATTCAGAAGTGGAAAATTGGATGCCAACAATGGAAAGTAGTATTTGAATGCATACATGACATTAAGTGTTTATTGCTCTGTTCAAAAGGAAAATCAAATTGACGTGCTCAGAGCATCTGTCGTAACAATAAAATCAAAGCTAGGTGATGCCACTTAACTAAAAAATTTAAAAGGTAAAAACAAAAAGGATTTAATGAAACAAGATGTATGCATTAGTATGTCTATACATGCAAATTTTTGAGCAATCAAATAATGACTTGCCTGTAAGTGTCATCTACCAACTTTGCTACTTCCTCTTTCCCAACGGCATTTTTCTTGTCCCACGTTCCTGAAACTGCACGAAACAATATGAAATTGCTTTTGTAATTGAAAACATAGTTGTGTCCAAAAATCAATCGTAAGTAGACAATTTATTCCGTAAATAAGTCACTATAAACATCTTTAAAAAACTATCAGCAGCATTAAAAAGATATACATAACCCAACAAAGAAAATGAGTTAATAGAAGGTGATGCTCTCATGACACTGCCATTCTCATACAAACAAGGATATTGGAAACCAGAATGCTTAGCAAATCAAACCCGATTTAGTGTTGCCTTGAAGTAGGCCCACCCACAATGGCAAGTGTGTCGTCCTTCAGATTCACCCATTCGGAAGTGGAATAGGTATTCNGCCCAACATTTTTAAGAGAAATACTGCTTAAAATCTATCCGACAATTCACAATTCCCATTCGGAGTTGCTTTCTTCCTTTACATTCTGACTAAGGCTATGTTTAGTATCAATTCTTATTTTTAACAATTAATTAATTCTCATTTTCAACCACACATTTTTCAATAAAATAATATTTTCTATCACATCAATAATCTTAACTTTTTTTTCAACCACACATTTCCCATCATATCACTATTCAAAATCAATTCTTCCCCAAAAAAATCTCTCCCAAACAAGCTCCTAATATATACAAATAAACTAACAATCAAATGTGCACAACGCTATCCAAGCAAGGGTCAATTGGACTCTAAATACGTATGGATGCCAAGTCAGACAGCCTCTTTTACTTCCTTTCACAGCACAACAGCATTAATTCACATATTTTTCAATGTAATAGTTCGTCGTTATTAACCCTATCTTGCCACTCCTATCTCTGTTGCCTTTTTTACCTTTTATCACTAATAGTTCACCTTCCATAAATCAAACCCACATGCCCATCATCAGCAATCCATTCAAAAATATTCCATTGTATTCCACATGTCCGTTATCTCATAATCTCTCCCTTAATTGTCAAAATCCAATTAAAGAATCCATCCGTTGAGTAAATGCCCACCGCTTTCCACTGTCAATTACCAGTCATCCCTAATTTTATTTCTAAATTCCAGTTAATCTTGCGCGCTCTCCCACCCCTCGGTACTTGAGCCAACAATACCTAACATTCTACTCTCTAGATTGCTTCACCATACCTTCTAGTCTGTTCCAACTTGACTGCTCTTAAATGATTATTTTTCAACTTTTTCGTGCTAGAATCATTGTTTGAATTGTTTTCATATGCATCTTTGAGGTTTATTCTATTACATTATTTTTGTGGCTTTTCCACCATATCCCAGATAGCTTCACAGTAATAGGTAACATGTTGGCACAAAAATAGGTTGTTTGACTGCATTAATCAATGGGTATCCCCTAGTTACTCCTTTGCAAGTGTGGTTTGCTATTAACTTATTTGTATAGCAATGTTAATTACAGATGACCTTAAGATTTATATTTGTCGTAAAAATTGATCTGACTTCTAATTGTATCATCAACATACTGGGAATAACATTCTGACAAGCAACCAAGAGCATCAAAACAGAATTTCTATTTGTCAAAGATCAAAATTTAAAAATTAAATCGAAAATTATAAAAGATAAAAGGATTGCGTGACAAGAGAAATTAAAATTTGCATCATCTATTTTTTAAGTGGAGCATATTTCTTCAATTGATCATTAATTATTTGTTACTTTCTTTTTCCTTACCAATTAAATACACTGTGTGCATATTACTCCCTCCCTTTCAGCCAACTGGGCAACATACAAGGTCAACTTTAGGAAACTTCTAAGATAGTTATATTTTAAACTTCTCTTTACTACTAAACATGACAGCAGTTCTTTCAATTCTTTGGATTTAGAGGTTTGGGCTATGGGTAAATCATGAAGCAAAATTTAACATTTTTTTTAACTTCTTAATTATGTCTCCTTTTTCCTAGGTGCTATTCAATTATATATACACAATAAAATTTAATTTGTAGTTCTCTTCCCAATCAAAAACCTAAATGCTGGGTCTCGCTCTAGACCCTACACATAATCTTGCCTTTTATTTTTAGCCAATGCGAAGCAAATCAAATATTTTCCTGTTGTTCTACCATATGAGCTCTCCTTTTTCTCTATAACATACATATGTAGATGCACATACGTAGACACGTGTGAGCATACGCCAACATCCGTGCACCCGCATACTTTATTATGCGGTGTTAAGTATTTGATGACAGAAAATAACTACTGAATCACCAACAGTTACAAATATCTATTTCTTCTGATCAGATGAGAATTTTATGTCAATATTCTCTCCTTGTATGCCTTTCAGGAGTTTGGATTTGTTTTCCTATATATAATTAGTAATAGGAACTTTGATTGAATCAGAAAGACATTCCGACCAACCTAATTTACAAATTCACATTACTTGCCAGCAAGTTGGCAATGAAATGCATTTTGGTGACATCTTCCTATGTTTTTCCATTTAATAAAAAAAATATATATATAAATAGATTATTTAATAGACATATGTCCTTGATCCTATGATCCTAAAATTTTAGACTTTTAGCGAGTTTGCCTTAGTTTATACATTTTCATACGTGACAAAAGCAAAGAACTCATAATTTCATGGAAGAACTCAGCAATGACTGATAGATTAGAGCCATTACACCTTCTCATTAATTAAAACACTAATCGCGCATCATCTTATCCTCTCTATTTATGTAGGAACTTACATTTGGTGTAAAATCTTTACTTTTTAATCAATATTAAAAAATATAGTTTTGCTTTTTTATTTAACGATCTTTGATGGAGATTGTAAAGCAGACCTAATTGAATATTTACCTTCATTATACATTTATTTTAGGAAGGAGATTGGGATTTATTTTTTAAATGATTTCTTGGACTAAGTAGAAATGGGGTTTTTTTTAATTGAAAAGACTATTAGTTGATTACTGAATATTGAGATGTATTGAAATCTTCTTCTCCCAAATTTTCTTCTCCACCCTCTCTCTCTTGCCTTCTCTGGCTTCTCTCTCATCTCCTCTCTTCCATTCTGCATCATCTTTATTTTTTATTTTTATACCTTCTTGGAAAAATAAATTAATTAGATATATGATTCCCTATGCACTGAAACAATGCTAATTGAGGTTGATGAAATTCTGAACTCAAATTGTTAAGGCAGTTTTCAAGAAAATGATGCAAAGATCATACATGAAGAAAGGACTGGAGGGCGAAGGAAGTGACATCTTCCAAAGAAAACAGGCTTTATAAGGCAACGGCAAATATCTGACGAGCTACAAGGAATGGCAGGGCAGCTTATGTAAAAAGAAAAGATATAACATAAGATGAGAATCATGCATGCCATGTTTCAAATAACCTCGAGGTGAAAACTGCAAAGCACTGGACTAGATGAATAATATCAATCACATTGTATCTACAGATTTTCTATTACATTTTGCAGAATTTAGAGGTATATGGATTAGAGTAGAAATTAGTACTCTGTGTGTGCGTGTGTGTGTGTAACTATTTACCTCGATCATCGGAGAGAATGGCTAATATCCGATCAACAAGGTCCTACACAATGTTAAAAAGAAAATTAATTAAAGAATACCTTTTCTTTTACATAAAATAGTCCAAGAGCTAAAAAGGCAGTAGAACAAGAGGTTAGTAATAAGTTACTAAATATGTATCCCACCCCCATATAAAATCCTGTGTGTCAGGTGATAAATCATAAATTCATTCATAGGCCAAAGTATCAAAACTAAAGGAAAA